CGAATCCCCGCCTCCTCACTCACGTCGTGGCCAATCTCGGCGACCAGATCCTGCACACCAGGCCACCGAATCCAAGGAATTTGGGTGTGGAAACCTCAAAAGCTGGACTTACTTTGGGTTGAAAGCTTGGTTGCTGTTGACCCCTCTGCAACAAAGTTCTTCACTTTTTGTGGGTTCAATGGAAAACCCTTGACTTCCCAAAAAGTTAAAGACGAAAATTGCAATCCAGAAAGGGACGCTCTAAAACCTAAGAATGGTCCATCAGCCAGCCGGACTGCGCGGTGCACTCGACGAGCCCCGCCTTCACCAGCACCGGCCCCGGCGGAGCTGTACATTGAGCGTCCCCCCCGGCGCCCTCATAGACGATGAGGGCGTCATCCTGTTCACGAGTGAGGCTCGAAATAGAGTCTTCCATTTGCTTAGAAAAAACATAATATTTCCGGTCGTGATAGATTCCCTCTAAAAACCAACAGGGGCAAATAAAGCATAAGCAAATGGATGGAGACTCCCCGAAAATGGGTGGCTTCCCTTTGGTCCCCTTTTCCAAATGAACTCCAAAGAGGGCAACCATACCATTCTCAGCGAATCGAAACCTGGTATCAATATGATCTATTCAAATCCGTGCGAAGAAACACACAGCTTCTTGCCACATCCATTTATTGCTGTGACGGTCCCCTACTGCCCTCCTATTGCTCGGGCTTTGAATATGGCACAAGCAAGCTGGCACGTCTTCGTCCCAGGGTTGCCCAATTGGGGCTGTCTGGCTGAAACAAAAACACATAAACGTGATGTTCCGTCGATGTTTCCGGCCTGCCGGGGAGCACTGCGCATCTCTACGGATTGCTGGGAATGGGATTCCAGAGCATCCAGTTCAACCAATTCCCGAAGGGCGATGAAGATTGGGGGTGTCTTTGTTTGGCACATACCTCAAGGAATCCTTTCCAGGGAAGGCCATGCAGCTTGTTGACCTTTGGACTCACCGGAAGCCCCAGCACGGTGCCAGAGAATGAATGGCGTGTTCCTGCCGGCGCGTTTGGGGATGCATGACTGTCTCAGCAACAAGCCAAGAAGTGCAGCCAGACCTGAACGAGGAACAACTCCCCCAGCAGACAAGCGAGTATCCGATACTTGAGAAACACACGTCAACATGTTTTCATTCACAGACATCAACACAGGTCCACACATCTATATATATATATACAGGTATACATACATACATATCATATACACTTGTATACTCATGCGGTGCAAGCTCCACAAAAAAAAGGGGAAACAAACAAAAAAAAAAAAACGCGCACATTCTGTTTCTGAAAGTTGCGGAGCTCAAGCTCTGCGCTCTAGAATGCTCGAAACCAGGCAGCTCCTCCCCTAAAAATATGTGAATCGCACGCTGGAGTTCAACCAAAGAATCGATCCCAAAGGCAAACTTCTGGGTTTCCGGCGACGCGACCGGAAAGCACGCCTCGTCCTCCAGATCGGAGCCCAGCACCTAACGGGCCACTTGGCATCGGGTTACTCAAATTGTTTGCGAGAACAAAGTGGGTCAAATGTGTTGTTGTGCAGTGCTCACTTTCTGAATGGATGGGCCCGAAAAAACTCCAAACAGTTTTGTTTCCACTAAAATGATCTTCCCAGAAAGCATGAAGTCCAGGAACTCAGGAAGTCAGACAGTGAATGCCTGGCAGTCTGGTTGCTCCACCCCTTGGACCAGACTGAATTTTGTGCCCTGGGCTTGGAGGTGCCAATTGTTTCGCCCTCCCCACCCCCCCCACCCTCCCTGTTGCCGGCCAACCAACCAACCAACTAACCAACGAACTAACCAACGAACCAACGAACCACCCAACCAACCAACCAGCTAGGAAAAAAAACAAACAAACACCGGCTTCCACACCCCCCAAAAAAAAAAAAAAAAACGCGCCTGCGAAAAGGCCGCCAGAAAGGCCAGCCAGGCGGCCAGCCGCATAGGCCTGAAGTTTAGGCGAGCCCGGAGGATTTTTCAAGGTCCTGAGCTTTTTGCTGACAATCGTCCAAAAAAATAGCTTTCCTCCCTTTGCAGATATCGCCTGGAAAGAATGCACATATTCTTCCAGTAGTGATCAAAGGAAGCTTAGAAGAAACTTCCGTGTTACAGCAACTAATTGAAAGCTAGCTCTCTGAGGACAGATGACAAGAGAAGGAAGAAGCGCGCGAGAAAAAATGTGCGCGCGTGGTGGGAGAATAAATATGCGCAAAAAACGTGACCCTGTGCATGAATCGGCGGCTCTGGAGAGCTGAAAGCTAGCCTGTTTGCGGCACCTCTCGGGCCGCGTTTGACCACGTTCGGACCAGTCTCGGATCATGCTCGGAACACTCCCGGAGCGCGGGCCCATTGGCACGGCAACGCGAAGGTTTCGCTAGGTTCTAATTGCGTGGCAGGCGCGGCCCTTTCGCAAGGTCAAGTTCTCCCAGGGTCAAAATTGCGTGGCAGGCGCAGCACTTTCGCAAGGTCAGGCACAGATTTCGTGGCAGGCATAGCACTTGCGCAAGGTCAAGTACACATTTCGTGGCAGGCGTAGCACTTGCGCAAGGTCAAGTACAGATTTCGTGGCAGGCGCAGCACATTCGCAAGGTCAATTACAGATTTCGTGGCAGGCGCAGCACTTTCGCCTGGTCAAGTACAGATTTCGTGGCAAGCGCAGCACTTTCGCAAAGTCAAGTGCAGATTTTGTGGCAGGGGCAGCACTTTCGCAAGGTCAAGTGCAGATTTCGTGATAGATAGAGAGATAGATAGATAGATAGATAGATAGATAGATAGATAGATAGATAGCTAGCTAGCTAGATAGATCGGTAGGTAGATAGATAAATAGATAGATAGATAGATAGATAGATTTCATAGATAGATAGATAGATACATAGATCGATAGATAGATAGATAGATCGATCGATCGATCGATTAGATAGATCGATAGATCGATAGATAGATAGATAGATAGAGAGGGAGAGAGATAGATAGGCGGATAGATAGATAGATAGATAGATAGATAGCTAGCTAGATAGATAGATAGAATAGATTAGATTAGATTAGACAGATTAGACAGATTAGATAGATTAGATAGATAGATAGATAGATAGGTAGATAAATAGATAGATAGATAGATAGATAGATAGATAGAGAGATTAGATAGATTAGATAGAGAGATAGAGAGATAGATAGAGATATAAATAGATAGACAGACAGACAGACAGACAGATAGATAGATAGATAGATAGATAGATTAGATATATAGATAGATAGATAGATAGATAGATAGATAGATAGATAGATAGATAGATAGATAGATAGATAGACAGACAGATAGATAGATAGATAGAGAAGAGACAAAGGAAAGAACGGTGCACAAACAAGCAAAAGAAAGAAAGCAAAGAAAGAATGAAAACAAAGCAAGAAACAAAGAAAGAAATACATAAAGAAAGAAATAAATAAAGAAAGAAAGAAACAAAGAAAGAAAGAAAGAACAAAAGAAAGAAATACATAAAGAAAGAAAGAAAAGCAAACAAATAAAGAGAGAATGACGAAGAAGAAGGAAGAAGAAGAGAACAATAATCAAGACAAGAAAGACAAAGATAACTATAGTTTAAAAAATAAAAATAAATATATATATATATAACTTCCGCCCACCGGCTTCGCCGGCTCTACTAGTAGATTCCCTTTGAAACCAACAGGGGAAAATATAACACATAGTGATGAGCCGATGGAAGCTTTTCGGGAAAATAATGAAGGAAGCTCTCACATTGAGGGCAAGGTGAGTTAAGTCTGGCAAGTCATGGAGGGCGCCATTCGCCCAAATCAGCCCGGGGCAAGTGTCATTGGGAGGCTGGGTTGCTCTAAGATGTAGAAAGCCGCACATTCTGGGACACCGCTGTCATTTCGGCTGCGGAAAATGGGCCCGTTTCCATGATGCCAGCGTGGGCACTCCGCACTGCGCGACTGACTAACATGGAACCCAAATCATCCTTCGTAGAGAAGTCTCGTTTTGGGGTATCCTTTTGCGCGTACCTTTGTTGGTATCAGTTTGCAGTGGCTACTCTATCACTTTGAGGGGGTTCCCTCAGCCACTACCAGCCATCCATGGGGCCTTCCGGCATGTCCATCCTCGCCCATGTAATTGAACATGTATGTGGAATATTTGGGGACACCCCTATCAAGTGGTGGCTCAACCCGACGACAGCTTGCAGCTTCCACATCCCCTCTATCTGAGTTTCCCCACTCCACTTTCGGCCGCGGCGGAAGCCGACCGCGCGAGGTTCGCGCTCCCCCCCAAAGTGACCCCCGGGCTGTAAGCCGAGCAACGCGACCACTGGTGGCTTCAGTCAGTAAGGCTCGGGTTGAATCAGTAAGGCTCCGTGTCAGAATGCAACGCTGCGGGAAACTCTCTGGCAAAGGCAGTATGGCCGTGTGGCCTTTGTTTGGGGTTAGGGCCGCAACGTATCGGAAGCACTGGTGCCGGCCTGAACGAGCATTCTTTTGAAGGGCCACATCGTGGACAGAGTGAATATCTGCACCAAAACTCGTCTGCTCCTTCCAGGATGTAATTAAACCACCTTTCTGGGCAGTTGACGCATGAGTGGCATCACATGCTACAGAATCACCCTCTGGAAGGCCTGGCGGGTCAGCAAAACACGCTTGGCGGCAAGGGGCAGGCACTGGATGGCACTAACATGAGATTCTTGGCCAGCCCATTGCGCAGTCAAAGTTTTTAGGCAGCCGAATAACCCTAAGCAGGCTTGTCCTGAAAAAATGGGCTCTAGCTTGCACCAAAGAACCCTGCGTGCATCCGAAAGAAACCCGTTTGGGTGTCGCTCAAACTTGAAAAGCTGAGGATACGCAGGTTTTAGTCTTTGGTTCCACTTACCAAGGTGCCATTTTGGTGCATGTTTTTGAGCCACAGCCATTTGCTAGAACCAAAGGTGTGGGCCAACCCCGCTTCATCCAGCGCCCCGAGGAATCCGGCCGGGCGGGCGCCGGCTGCGGCGCCGGCCCGTGCGCCGGCCCAGGCCCTTGACCTGGCGAGCTCCGCGAAGCCGGAGACCCAGCCACTGCCGCCGAGCCGCACTCACCCCGAGCTGGCGCAAGAAGAGTCCGAGCTTTTGGTTTACCCTCCTAGCAAGTGACATGGAAGTGCCCCAAAGCCCCCCTTTCTAAGAGGGAGGTAGTCTTTTTCCACATCTGTGCACTTCCATGCTCGGAAGGAGGGTACCACTAATACGGGTCTTCCCAAAAAATCACACAAAAAGTCCAACTCAGGAACTGAAATAACCCCGAAGAGCTTTGATTTCTGAGGCGATTTCTTCCTTTGCTGCACTGATTGGTAGCAAAAGGCTCTCATATTCTTGCAGCCCTCTGCTAAAAATAATGAACTGAACCAGCAACAGACAAAACGACACTATCTAATTAACATGGAAGTGCACAGGACTTCCAACAAAATTGTAGTCTTTCTACAGGGGGTTGTACGCTTCCATGTTAGTTGGTGGGAAGGTAGGCTTCCGGAAAGATGTAACTGTTGATCATTGGGGAGCGCCAAGCCCTGGCCACCTCCAGAGGTGACCAAACTGCGCCCCCCACCAAAAGCAGGGGTGCTGTATACATGTTATCCTTTAAGCATCACTCAACCATGTCCTCAGCTAGAAAGACATGCGCGCAATGAAAACCCAGCATTAGAAGTGTCAAACCAAACCAATGTGTAGCACTGAAACGGCGGGTGGTTGGGACTGCTGCTCCTTATTAACCTTCACTTGCCGGGGTTTGTTTGGGCTCATGTGGGTGCCGTTCATTCTATCATTCAACCTTCTGCCAACCCTTCCGTGAAGCTTCCGCAGCATGCTTCAGAATGGGAATTCGATTCTGAGAGCAAAACTAGACTCGCGCAACATACCGTGGCTGCACAATGTTGCATCATGTTGCATCCAAGTAGGACGATGTAAGATCCCTCCTGCCTGTTACTGTTGACAAGGCATCAGCCAACAACTTGCAGCACATACAACACAGAAAGCCCCACCCTGAGTATATTTCTCCAGCAAAGTGTCCCGCTGCAAGCGCCGCCGCCCCGCACTGTTTTATTTCGCCCCGGACGCAGGGCGCCTAGTTGAGCTATACCTTCCACGCGGGAGCAATGCGGGCAACTGCCGCGCTGCTCCAAAGCAGTGGGATCGCGGAGTCTGGGCCAATGATATTGCGCTCGGGCTGGACTGAGGCTTCAAAACAACCCGCAGTCTTGAATAGACCAAGAGCTTGAATGCTGGTGATCCACACCACTTTCCGAAAGCTTGAAAGGAGGGGATCAAATACTACCCTGCACTCCTGCGTCGCCCATGTCCCACAAAGCACTTCCCAGAGAAGCAGCGACAAGCCCTTCGCACATGGTTCATGCGGGTAGGAGCAAGACTCCGGTGAAGGAAAGTGTGTGGAGCAACACAGTGAGGGATTCGCGTGGAAGTGGACAATTACTTCTGGAAGCAACAAAGGACATGTAAATCGAACAAGTCGCTTCCTGCACCTGGAGTACTAGGGAGCGTTCCTGTCTCTAAGCTGAAATACCACCCACCCTATCAACCAGGGGTGGGTCCCAGTATCTTCCAAGCTAAAACCAGTGCCCACAAACTGCACATTTGCCTGTCATGGTGAGTGAATCTGACTTGGAAACCCTTTGGATATCATTGGTGGACATCATTTACTTGCGGGGGGTTGCGTCCTGCAAAAGAATCTGAGGATTGCTCCATTCGAACAATTCATGAGCAAAAAAAATCGGTGCCTGGTGGCGTCCCTGAGACAAAGGAAAAAACAACTTTTGGAAACCGTTTCTTTTTGGAAAGGCAACACTTATTCAAGCTAGGCATCCAGAGTGACAATGCCACCCGGACCTTCAACCTTGGGAGGCCGCATCAGACCGCGACCACGTCTTCCTTGGCACCAGCAGCTCTGGCGACCAGCAGGGCAGAAGCGCCTGCGCGGAGACTTTCAGGCCGCTTTGAAAGCAATGGAAGGCCCAGGAAACGGGGACGTTTTCGGGGAACTGAGGGGGGGTGCTTCCCTTTGGGTAGTTGGGCTCCAACCTGTGGAGTACTCAAATGGCTATGATTCTTTTTAGGGGTCTGTAACGCTCGACGCGCCACGAATCTTGTTACGGACGTCTGTAACGGAGGTCCTTGTTACGCAGGTCTGTAACGGGACAAACATTAACTGACAAGCAGTATCAGTAGCACAATGTAGCGCAGCACAACGAGGTATGTAATGGCTATGCAACGAGGTCTGTAACGAGGCAAAGCAAAGCGCAGGACGCAAAGCGTGCCTCCGCAGCTCCAGCTTGGTTGCAGCTACTCAACGCAAGCCAAGCTGCGGCAAAAAGCGGGGTCGCTGGGCCGGGTTGGGGGTTGGGTCTGTAACGAGGTCTGTAACGAGGCAAAGCAAAGCGCAGTACGCAAAGCGCGCCTCCGCAGCACCAGCTTGCTTGCAGCTATTCAACGCAAGCCAAGCTGCGGCAAAAAGCGGGGTCGCTGGCCCGGGCTGGGGTTGGGTCTGTAACGAGGTATGTAACGGCTATGTAACGAGGTCTGTAACGAGGCAAAGCAAAGCACTTGATTGCAGCTATTCAACGCAAGCCAAGCTGCGGCAAAAAGAGGGCAGTCACGTCACTGGCCCGGTTTGTTCATCTGAGGTGTGTAACGAGGGCGTGTGTGTAACGAGGGTGTGTAACGAGGTTGTGTAACGAGGGGTGTGTAACGAGCCAGCTGGTTTTGTTACAGAGGTCTGTAACGAGGTCTGTAACGAATGTCCGCCGCGGCTCTGTTACAGACCCCTCAAACAGGTATTGTTTAAATTGGGGACCCTTTAGTGGACATTACTTAGGCGGGGAGTCATATCCACAAACCACTTGTGAGGTGTCCCCTTTTAAAATCATAACCATATAAGTGTGCACTTTGCGAGGGTACCCTGGGGGCTGGTTGAAAGGGAAACCACAAGGAAACCCCGAATTTGGAGAGTCCCCGTGTTTCGACCCATGCCAATCTATGTTCACCGCAGGCTTCGCGCCAAGCGGCAGCTCTGTTGGTGTTCCTTCTCCGCCTCCTGCGCCACCCCTGCCAGCGCCGCTGCGTCTCCTGAAGCTCGGCGGAGCCATCGATCCATCGGGGCGGCTCGGGAGCTCTTCTATGTTCTTGTCCATGGCTCGAGTCCCCTGGAAATTGAACCTCTGGGGGTTGATTCCTTGTCCATTCTGTTCAGCCATCGTTCTTTTCAACAACCAGCCATGTCCCAAGCTTTTGGTGGTTTTCTAGAAAGAAGGCTGGAAAGAATGGGGATGTTACCCCTAGAAAACCATAATTCCAGTAGTGATAGATTCCCTTCGAAACCAGCAGGGGAAATAAAACATATTCTTCAGCAAACTGGGTATGAATTTTAGTTAGGGACCCGAAATGGTGGACATCAACATTCGGTGGGGATTCATGTCCACCAATCACTTTTGAGGTGGTTCCCTACTAAAATTATCTAAAATTCATGGCCATGTTTCCAGCAGTGATAGATTTCCTTCGAAACCAACAGTTGAAAAAAACAAAAAAACTCTTACGCAAATGGGAGTTGTGAAATCCACTTGCGCATTACGCAACAAACGCGTGGTTCCCGTTGGTCCGGTGAAGGTCAGGCGCTTTAATTCGCCTGACAAAGTTAGCTCAAAGGAAAGGCAGCGCATTTGGTCGATGGGATTTGTTGAAATCCCAACCGCCTTTGGGCTTCTTCTTTTGCCCCAGGTCAATAGTTGACAAAAGAAGGGTCCCCGGGCGCTCATCTGATTCACCGAGTGCGGGGGTTTGGTTTCCACAGCGCATCCAACATGTATGTGTTTTGTCTTTTTCCGAAGAAAATGCAGAGATGGACTCAGCTTTTACCTCTTCTTGAAAGTGATCCTTCAGACCTTAGATTCCGGTAGATAGTGACCTCAAGAAGCAACATCTTTGGCTCCTTTGCCCCTTCAGGCTGGCACGAGGCCTTCAATCTTGGGGAACCTGGCCCAGCTGGGTCTCAAGTGCCATCCTGAGTTTACGCTTTAAAGGGAGACCACCTCCCACAGGTCAGAGTCGATCACTCAACATGCAACTGCCAGGAAAACCTCTTCAGCCCCATCCAAAGGCTGCTGTTCCGGGTCGCGGCTCGAGGTGGTTTCCATTTCAGCGCGAACCGAGGACGTGGCGAGCTCAGGAATTCTGTCTCAATGCAGAGGAACCCCTTGTTGGATGTTTCTGCACGGGAAACCACCTCTCTGGCTGGCCAAAAAACATGAGAAACATCGATTTGTGGCGCAGCCGAGCCCTCGTTTGGGGCCGCCCGCCAGTTGTTCAGTGACCCTGGAGAAGAAAAAAAAGGGGAAGACCATGTCTAGTGGGGCAGCCACCGCAAAAAAATGAAAAGAAGAGCCACTGAAGAACTGAGGGACTGGTCCTGCCCATAGGTGGCCTTTTGGAAAAATAGATGGGTTCCCCTGGTAAATGCAATGCACCCCATCTAAACCGAAACGGACTCGCCCTCTATTTTTTAAGCCAACCAAAAAAGTTGACCCCGGTCCACTCTCCGTCCTGCCAGGAAGGCGCTGAGCTGGCAGCCGGGCACCAGCTTCTCCGCCTTGCAGCCCAGCAGCTTCACCCGCCACAGCCGGGCGCACGCCTCGAAATCTCTCGGTTCGGTGCACCGAGCGCTCGGGCGACAGAGGAAGTTCTCCGGCTTGGGCCCTACCCATCCCCCCCCCCCCCCGGCTTTGTAGGCTCAAAACAGATGGGAATTTGGGGGATTCTCCTGTTTCCGCCCTCAAACCCATCCCCCCCCCCCCCCCGGGTGGTTTAGGCTCAAATAAAAACAAATGGGAATTTGGGGGGCAAACATCCCAATGGCATCCGTTAAGGGCAGAAGTCCAAGCCAAGTCCTATGCTTGCGAAGGGACCTTGGACAGTCGATACTCTATCCATCCTCAAGAATCGCCCTTGAGGTGAAAATCAATCATGTGATTTAGCACTCATCA